TGCTTGCAATCTCTATAGTGTGAAGACTTTGTTGTACATACATTTAACTTGTTCCAAATATATATATTATTTGAAAACAAGTAAAGTATGTGCTGTTTATTCAGCACTGAATTTATTGCTAACAAGTCACAGACACCTATTGTAGAAGAATCCTAAGCCCAACAACAACAACATAGTATATATTTATACTATTAAGAAATATAAGTAAAAACCATTTATTTCGACAATTGGCAAAAAGAAGAACTTATACATATATTATTTTTAAAATCTGACAGTGTGCAATAACCATATTAAGCACATTGACCCTAGAAGGTGATTATAAGTCAGAAAAGAAAGTTATATGACAGAAAGCTGGGACTGGTGCTACTGGTGAAGAGGAAGAAAGGAAATCAGGTAAAGGTGAGACCAATTCAACACAGCATCACTAGGAATCAAAGAGTTGGCAGACTTCAGGTCTAGAGATAAAACAAAAGCATCCAGCTGAGGTGATATCCACATGACAGGAATGGTCACAAGGACCACTAATGAGAGAATCATGTTCAAGCATTAAATAATCATGATGAAAAGTGGCAAGCATATAACTAACAGCTATCAGCAAAGCATTTATGAACTGATATAGTAATTAAAATTCGTCAACAGCAGTAAATAGATAAATGACAACAGGTAAATTTGCTCATTGAAATACACTGCTTATTCGTAGTAGCTGTTGGTTGTAAAGCATAAAGCTATACATTGGGCTATATATGAACTGTCCACCAAACATACCAAACCAAAGATTTTGGCTTTATAGCTCAGAGACCTACTGCTGTGCCACCAGGAGGATGGGGTGCTTATCTGTAGTTTATGTCTTAAAACTAATTGAATAACCCTATCAATGTTCGATCTGAGTGGTGAAATGGAACTGAAACTAATACTTGAGGTATTAAACCTAAACTCTGGAAGCTTATTCATAATCAGTTTTTATTAGACTTATAAAATTAGACAATAATTACCTGATAATTCAATGCTACTTCATATTCAATTTACAGATGTATAGTTATGGGTATGTTTAGTATCTTTTAGTGTGTGTAAGAGGGCCACCTTAATAGACTATCAGGCTACTATCACCTTCTCGTGCTCTCCAAACTCTACTAGTAGTTTTTAAACACACACACACACAAATGTGAAGTAAGTACAAAATAAGTTTAGATACGGCAGGAAAGATTTATGGAAACATAAAATTAATTTTGTCTTGGTCATACATATAAACAACAACTTGTATGAAACTTGCAGGTTTTGTTAACATGGTGTTGACATACATAGATTCTGCCATTTTTGTAGAGAAAAAGTTTTTTCTTTCTGTTGTAAATGAATACTTAAAATCTAATAAAACACTTTGATATTTTCCATCCAATCAGAAGTTGTACATGTTAATGAATCTATCTTTAACATTGTTCACTGTTGTTAATATTTTCACCAATATTTCCTATACATCAGTGAAAAATACTAATTTAAAGACTCCTGAATGGCTTATCTTAGGTTAAGTTATTTCATACTCATGCTGTTGCTGGCACAATTTCTCATGCAATATATCAAGATATTTTGGGGACATCAGTAAATTACAACATGATGATATTCATCTGGAAAACAAACTGTAGTTATTAGACCAGCATTATAAATTTAGCTTATGATAACAAATATCATTAGAATGTTGAGCTTTTGTCACCCACATAAAATTTTTTTAAATTCCTTTTCTTCAACCTATTACAGAGCTTTGTAATCAGAAATACAGAGTTTTCTGTAGAAGGTTCAAAACGGATAAACACTAGATTGGCCAAGTTTTCAGAAAACGAATCTTTGCAAATATGCAATTAATACTTCATTTACAAGCAATTTCACCTTTTTTATCTCATTGCAAGTAGGGAAAGTAGATAATTAGTATAGGATTAGAAGTTTAAAATTAAAAAATTTTATCGTATTTATTTATAGTATGGGTCTAAATATGTTTCAAACAATAGTCAAAAGTAGTATTATAGCTCAACGGCTCGAAGTATTTAAGTTTGTTTTTTTTTACCACTGGTTAAATACTGATATTAAAGATTACACCAAAGCCGCCCTCAAAACATTTCTGCGAATACTATTTAAAGAAAGTTTGAATGCTTCATATAAATAAGGATGCGTTGATAAACAAGCATAACATATCTATCTCAAACGACGTCACAACGTAAAACCTCGTGTCTTTCGACAATAGCATAATCACGTGAATGTTCTCATGTTTATTGCATCATATATTTGATATATAGTTTTCTGTCTGACTAGCTTCATTTTTATTCCAAAACGATGATAGACGTTTGTTTATAAGCACAAAAACAACAGATAAAGAACAACAACTGCTTTTTGACCATGAACACAGCAGTTAAAAACAAATTGAACACAAACAATTAGTCACAGCGGGCTTCTACTTCACCATCTTTATTTAGCGTCTGGTGAAATTCGCATGACATACACAGCTTACGCGTTCTTTTGTGTTTTGACATTAAACATATTACATCTAATGCCTACTTCACTGGACCGTGTTGTAACGTGTGGGCATTTTTCTGGCATTTGTTCAAATAAATTAAAGATTCTGTAGTTTGACGTCAATGAACACATTATCCTTACCGTAATTACACGCGGGAACTACAATATTAAACACGTTCAATATAAGTACTTATGACATTAATTCATGTATACCAACATTACTTATATTGTAGCTGTCATGGTAAAGAAGTAAGTTTGTGTGCCTTGCATATAATTACCTATTATACTAGTATTGAATACTGACATACAAATTCGCACTGCAACACATCGCACATATCTGATAAATTGGATACAGTAGCTTTACTAAAGTGATCAGTTCAACATCAGTTAAACTTCAACCAAATATTATCTTGTATTTCTACGACGAAACAAAAACGACCGGACTTCCTTAATGAGCCCTAATCAAATGTGCCCCCCTCCACTCAACGAATATATCTCTCATCTCAATTTTAGTTTGAGGGGTAAAACTCTATAAAGCCACTACTGGCGAAATTGGAAAAAACTTAGCAGAGTTTGTCGCCTTCTAAACAAACATCAGCGTTATAACGAAGAAGTAACTAATTTACAATAAATTTACTCAAAACATTTTCCGCAGATTATGGAGTGCTTCAACAAAACACCTTTCCTCGGCGAGACCTAGAAGTGTACACATTGTCACACGCAGGCTGCTGTGTTTTATATACATGACGCGTTGTCCAAGTAGTCAAAGGTACCCAGGACGAGTTACTACTAGGTCAGATAATAAATTCATAGATTTTAAAGTTTAATATGAAGAACGCATTGATATAGTTCAATTCTAGATGTTTTGTTTCACGTTTTAGGTGACAAAATATTTGAAGCATTTAAGACATAATAAAAACTATTAATTTTTACTTTTGATTAGTGGTCATTTCCTGGATAGCATTCATATCTTTTAAATTAGTTAATATTCTAGCGATTGTAGCAGTGGGGGTTAAACAGTGGGCTTGTCATTATTTTGATGCCGCTGTTTCAGATAACATCATAGATTCTATTACTATTAATATTTTTAATATTTCTAAATCCTAGTGGCAAAGCAGGGTATCATAAAAATAAATAAACTTATTATTCCGAAAATTGTTCAATCTAGAAGTCTAAGTTCAAGGGAAGTCCAGTTCAACCTAAACTTTGATCAACGTGTGTTATTGGGTTATACTAGTTTCGGAGAATTCCACCCGTCATCAGTAACCTTGAACACAAGTTAACCAAGGAGAGATAAGCTGGACCTATATCACTGTGAAAAGTATCAAACATATTGTTGGTGTGAACGTGCTGAAGTTAATCACTTCCCTGACAATATGGAGTTTATTCAAAACGTTAGAAAAACAAGTAGGATCAAGAAGTCTTGATATAAATGAATAAAAACCCTATAATCCTAGCGCTTTCGAAAGGTGTCCACCTTTCTTCTCCAGGGGCAAACTGGGTTTAAATACTAATACTAATAATTAGTCAACAATTACTCCTGTCCACTAATCACCTAAACACAAGGTGTTGCTTCAACAATTACTCCTGTCCACTAATCACCTAAACACAGGGAGTTGCTTGAACAGTTGCTCCTGTCCACTAATCACCTAAACACAGGGAGTTGCTTGAACAGTTGCTCCTGTCCACTAATCACCTAAACACAGGGAGTTGCTTGAACAGTTGCTCCTGTCCACTAATCACCTAAACACAAGGTGTTGGACAGGAGTAATTGTTGAAGCTTAGGTGATTAGTTTGAAGCAACGCCTTGTGTACAGGAGTAATTGCCCACTAATCACCTAAACACAAGGTGTTTCTTCAACAATTACTCCTGTCCACTAATCACCGAAACACAAGGCGTTGCTTCAACAATTACTCCTGTCCACTAATCACCTAAATACGAGGTGTTGCTTCAACAATTACTCCTGTCCACTAATCACTTAAACACAAGGTGTTGCTTCAACAATTACCCCTGTCCACTAATCACCTAAACACAAGGTGTTGCTTCAACAATTACCCCTGTCCACTATTCACCTAAACACAAGGTGTTGCTTCAACAATTACTCCTGTCCACTGATCACCTAAACACAAGCCATTGCTTAAGCAATTATTCCTGTTCACTGATCAACTAAACACAAGGTGCTACTTAAACAATTATGCCTGTTCACTGATCAACTAAACACAAGGTGTTGCTTCAACAATTACTCCTGTCAACTAATCACCTAAACAC